TTTTCATTACAATTATTATTGTTAATATTATAATTATTATTGTAATATTATATTTAAGCCCAATTATTCAACTGTTCCTATCTCAACAGATGAGTTTTACCTTTTCTCTGATTCTCCTCCCCACCCCACTTGGAGGGGCGAGTGTGAGCAAGTGGCTACATGGTCCTTAGTTGCTGGCTGGGGGTTGACCACGACACTGCTCAAGACTTTGGAAGGACAGTTCAGGATTCATTTGTAACTGCAGAAGGCATATGGTGCTCTGAGTTAGGGAACAAAACAGAATTGCTCAGGCTGGATTTGATTCCATACTCCCATCAGAACCTCTGTCCACACACAGCTGCTGTGTGAGCATGGTCGTTGGAAGCCTCTCCTAGGAACTCTGGGACTTCACAGGAAAGGGGCTGAGTGAAGACAAACACAAAGGAGGATCATTCACCAGGGCACCACCAACACCACTGTTGCAGGGTGGAGCTTTTCTCTCAGCCTGGAGACCCTCACTTGTTAGCCTAAAAATCAGGCATGTCACCTTGGTAGTATTAGGAAGGAGGAAATCTGGAGATTTGAAAGTTCTTGTATTTAAGTGGGGTAAACATACTTTTATAGTTTGGGTTTCCTCATTAGGATTCCATGGAAAGAAGCAATGCAGAATATGTACTAGTGTTATTTCACACTGTCACATCTCTTTCCTTATTTAGAGAGCATGTACTGATGGTGTTAATTTTTATGCTGTGATTCTTCTAGGCACAATACATTAGAAGTTTTGAGAAACTCTGCCTTCCCAGCCTCAAAAATTACATGTATTTGCGGCTCAGCCCTTCAGATTTCAGAAATTCCTGTAATACCGACTTAAAGACAAGTTAAAAATAACACTACATTTTCACCAGCAAGACTTTAAAAATCAGATGTCACCCTACCCGACCTCAATTAAGTCAGGCAGAATCTGCTGAAGCAGCTGGATGGGATCAAGCAGGGTGTGAAAATCTGTGTTCTAGCACTGGGGAGAGAAAAGATCAGTTGAAAATTTCAGTGTGAAGCTGGTTCTGTATGAAGTGGAGAATTTCAAGTGTGAATGCGTGTATGTGTTCATGCATGTGCTGGGGAAAGTAGGGTTGGCAAGGGAGACAGAGGAGAGCTTTGTGTTCAGTGCTTCCTCTGACACAGCTCAGCCTGTTCCCTATCTCCCAGTTTCACTTCTGAATGTGCAGGAACATGCGGTGGCTTCTTTTTCCCACCATCTTCGTCATCTCTTGTACGCAGCAGGTAAGTTCATTAAAAAGAAGAAAAAGATTTCTCCCTTCCTCACCCTGTCCTGGTTTTGAGCTTTTGTTTGCTTAATGACAAAATAAATTTCAGAGAAGCAAATTCCTCATAAAGAATAAGGAGCCATTCCCTATGCCTGAGTAAAATTTATTTGCAGCTTACTTACTGTATCAGTCCTGATTTTGGTATTTTTGTCTCTAATCTCTATGTCAATGTGATTCAGTGGAAAAAAAAGTGTTAGGGAAGCTTAAATTGCCAGTGATCTTGCTTTTTTTTGTGTGTGTGTCCATGCTCATATTCCATATATATATGTATATATGTATATATACAGAGTGGTCTAACTTCAGGCTAGTTTTAAAATGAGGACGGCACCTGGGCTGTGAAAGACCTGAGCTTTGTCTCTTACGAGAAAACTTTAAGGGATAGCTTGTGCTGAAGGTATTTGTGTCAAAGGCCAATTTCATTATTTATTTACCTCCTTTTGAAAACCTGCTTTATGTGCAGACTGTGTATTTTTCCTTTATGATCAAGATGAATGTCAAATAGAGACTTTTCAGCTGTCTCCCTCTGCTAACTTTCTGCATATTTAAAGCCAGACTGAGATAACCAAACATTAGCAATAAAGCATTGCCTGCCTTTGCTATTTGCTTATTTACGCCATCCAGACCTTGTTCAATCTTTAAAATGTAAGAAAACAAACAACAACACCTGAAGGGCTCCTACACAATGGTCTCATTTTCCACTCTGCCATAGGATCAGGAAAAGCATGCAGCGTGCTTGTGTGGTGTGGATAGCCGTGGTATAGAAACTTTGGGAAGCAAGAATTAGAAAGATATTTGCCTGTAAACTTTACATTTTCATTGTAACTGAATAGATTTTGGAAGATTTTTTCAGGTAGACTGAGCTCCTCAGTAATTCTACAGTTATAACTGTCAGGTGTCTGCCTGATGCTGTTTTTCTTTCTCTGAAACTTTGTAGTCTCACACCTTTCAGTTGACATGTTCCCCAAAGAGAGAAAAGTCACTTGCTTAGGTAGAATTCTGTAGGTTTAAAGCATGTTTTAATTTGCAGTACAAATTAAACATACTGGTTGAAGCACACAGATTATTTCCTGCTACACATACCTATTTTGAAATGCAATATCTGATTTAAGCCACATAACCTCATATAGCTGGCACATGGCCAAGTTCCTAACAATAATCCTCTGCTTAAAAAGAAGAAAAGCAGCAAGAAAGTGTTTTCTAAAACAACCATACAGTCTTGAACACTGCTAAATATATAGCAACACCTGTGTGTCTTATTTCCAGAACAAACCTTTGAGGCTCTTTACGCTCCAATGCAAATGTTCATCAAATTAACATTATGGTTTATAGAAAAAGCTTAGCTGCCTAAAAAAAGTATACTTAAGTTAGTTGTTTCTTTATTATTGCTGCATTTAGGTAAAAAAGATTAGAAGAAATCCTTTCTCAGCAAATGGTTAACAAAATAACATGTTTATGAAACTATCTTCTGCATGCTACGTGGAATACCACATGACATTGTTTAATATTCATTTATTATATAAATTGCCTCTGTGAATTAATATCTATTTTATAAATCATTCAGCCAAAGGAACTTGGAAGCTGCTTTGGAGCTTCATTAGTAGCTGTGAATTAAGATATCGTAAGTGTAGTTTAAATGACCATGAAAAATAGAAATTAGTGGTAGAAAAAAGCCTTTTAAAAGGTCATTTACTGCTGCACGCAATTAGGCCAGATCAATTATGCTGTGAGAGCTTTCATGGGATATGACATATGAAATGCTGAATTCTGCAGATACGTCCAGTTTGAAAGCTGAACTGAAAGAAAACCCAGCCAAAAGATCCCCAGCTTTCCCTTACTGCCTCTGCTGGAGGTGGTTTCTACACCAGTAGAGCCCTGTAGTTTGGAGGAAGAGAGAGAAACTGAGAGGTGGGCCTCATGTGCCCTCAAAAATTATAGGCTATATATAGTTTTATATATATTTTTTTTTTTCCCTGCAATCTTGATGGTGATACTGGCACCTGATGAGGGGCTGGGTCTTGTTTGTCCCTCTTGCTCAGTGGGCTGTCAGAGCTGCTTGTTGAGAGCGCTCCCAAGCCTTACATTGTACTAGCAGCCAAGTGCTGTGTGTGCCCCAACTTAACTATGGATCCAGTCATCCGTGATGAATAACTATATCACGATCTGCATTTCTGCTGAAATCAGCAGCATGAAAAGATTTAAAGCTAAGATCTGAACTGTTACATTTTAGATGTAGTTCATAAAAAGAGCAGATAGAATATAGCTATCTCAAAGAGATCCTTTCACACTCTGCTGACTTAATTTCCCCCCATCCCTCAGAAAAATAAACCTATCTAGAATTACTTAGGGCTTCCTTTTCTTAAAAAAGAAGAGGAACCTCCCCACCCCCCCATGAATTCTGAGACAGAATATGGAGAACAGTAAATTCTGTCTAGATCTTGGCTTCCTACTACTAATAACACTCTTTTTTAGAGATACATCTTTGCCCTTTAAGCCTTGGATTCAGTTCAACACTTACTCATGCAAATACACTCTTAGAAAATGACCCATTAAGCTCAGTGTAACCACTAGTCTCCCTTATTAGGAGTAAATTTTTGCATCTAACACAAGAGGATTTGTAAATACCATAATTTTCTTTCCCGAACAGCTACTCAAATTTTGGAGTAAAAAGAACACTCAGGAGAGGTCTACTATTTTAATAAGGCTTTTGCCATCAACAGTGGACACAGGGCAGTGGTTGGCTATCGAACAGTGGGAGGAATCAAAAGTTAATTAATTTGACAGGGTGTTTGTGGGAAAGAATATTTAAAGTAAATCCACCATCTACTTGAAAATACTTTTTTTCCTACTTTAGCTTTACTACAGGTTTTGTTCTTTTGGAGGCAAAGGAAAAGCCAATGAATTGTGTTTCGTACCAGCAATAGGTAAGGCTCACTGGTAGAATGTCACCTCAATGAATGAGAGTGACCGATGAAACTGGTCCTGTGTCTCCTACCTAAACCTCACAGCCTCTCACTTTTGGATCTCGTGGGATGAGAAATCTTAAGTGTCTTCATGCAACTTCATAGTTCTTTCCATTTCAACTTCATTTTATGCCATCGTAGCTACACATAATGCATTGAGCTCTCAAAATATCCCACCGTGTGTAAGTTTTTCCACAGCTCACCAGTGAAGCCCGGAGAAAAACCTTCAGAAACTGGTGAAGCCCACCAGCGCAAGGAGGTTTGTCACTGGCCATGCAGATGCCCACCTGTGCCAACCTGCACCCCTGGGGTAAGCTTGGTGAAGGACGGTTGTGGCTGCTGTAAGATCTGTGCCAAGCAGTCAGGAGAGAACTGCAATGAAGCAGATGTCTGTGATCCCCACAAAGGCCTCTACTGCGACTACTCGGCAGATGAGCCTAGGTATGAAACAGGCGTGTGTGCATGTAAGTTGTTCTTTCATGTTCCCTTCTTGAAATCTAGGAGGGTGGGACCATGCAGGTGAATGCTTTTGGGGGAAAGCTCTGCTTGCTGGTGCTGCACAGCTTTGTGCTTGGCAATTTATCCACATTTAGTCCTTTGACTGCTCAGTCAGAGGATATGGGAGTAGGGCTGGGACTGTGTTTAGACATACCTGTATGTGCATTAGTGAAACCAGCTCATTGTGCACAAGCCTGTTATTTGCAGACTTGTTGATGACTGATTCAAAGCTGCGTGCCTGTAGTGATCACTGGGCACAAATAAAAAAATATGTGCTTGGGCTGGGAAGAACTTGTGGGTGCAGTGAAGGCTTTCCCACTCTGTAATTAGGAACCATGTGCTCCTCCTGTGTTAGTAACTGTCGTTTACCATTTGCAGATCTGATAGCTGTGGGATGTGAGCTCAATGGAGTCTATTACCTTAATGGGCAGACCTTCCAACCTAACCCACTTTATAAGTGCCTGTGCATCAGTGGTGCAATTGGATGTACACCTGTATTCATACCAAGACTAGCAGCAAGACCCTGTGGCAGGGTCACAGGCAGAAAGAAGCCTGGACAACCCATCTGTGGCCCAGGACAACACAAGCAGCTTCAAGCAACAAACTACAGACTGATGTCAGGTGTGCCTGGCTACACTGGTGAATGTTTCTCTGCATAAGCCTTGCTGCATTTAGTGTTCCTGGCTCCAGCAGCCAGGCAGGCAGCACACTGGCAGTTTCTCAGTTCTTGCTGAAGGCCATTGCCAGGACGACTTGTCTGTCCCAATTACCCCTCTTACTCTTAGGTCACAGACTCTTTTCTCTAAACCCAATGAATATGCAAAGCAAAAGAAGCCTTTTGGCTTCTGTCACCAGGGAATTGGCCAAAGCTATCTCCAGCCCATCTTTCTGCAGAGGTTTACTACTCATCGGATCAGACCAATTAGGGCTGCTAGTGGACAGCCATTTCACAGCCTGGGAGTTGTCTCACTTTCTCCTGCTTTGACCTGGTAGGGAGCCTCGGTTTTCACATACATACATTAATGTGTTGGAGGCCTCTTTCAGTAGAAAGCAAAAAATAGTAAAAACTTGCCTTAGTGGCTTTCCGGAATTCACAAGATTTCAGGTTGCTGCAAGGACAGTGGTCCCCCCAGTTTCCTCTCCATTCAGTCTGACCAAAAGTTTACAAGAGCTTATCCATGGAGTTCTGTCAGGGCCAGCTGATAGTCCCTTTAATCTCATTCTTGTTCTGCTGCTAACACTGTAGTTCTCTTTTTCACTTTAAGGAAGCAGCATTGCCAGGAGCTGCTACCCTGGCCCTTCCCTGGCCACAGATGCCTGTGCTTGCACTGTCTCCTTCCCTGTGCATGTGCAAGTTTCCACCTCGAAACTCATCTTCATTACAACTAATGTGGGTATCAAGAAGCTGAACCATTTATTTGGTGGCAGCTTGAATTACGGGGAAATTAGGGCCTGAATCATCATCATGGATCAATAAAAGGATTGCAAAGCTGATCAGAAAACCTTCCTAAAAGGCAGCTGAGTAAAGAGGTAGATGCACGTAAGTCAATCTGCAGATAAACAGACTCACAAAATCTGAAGTTCAGTTTTGACAACTTCTAGCATGTTAGAAGTGGTTATAGAATCATAGAATCATAGAATAGTTAGGGTTGGAAAGGACCTTAAGATCATCTAGTTCCAACCCCCCTGCCATGAGCAGGGACACCACA